AATGCCTTCCTCCAGCTTTGTAATTGACCTATAAAAGAAGATAAATTCTTTTTAGGTACCCAAACTTGTTTGGATACTTGAAGGTTAGTGACCAAGCTTTTTGGTACCCAAGTGACTTTCTTCTTTGAGCCCATCTATGGTGCACCAACGAACTTAGCCTTTACACCATTTGCACTTTTGGTAAGCACATAGAAAGAATCAAGCTTAATGGAGGATACATTAGTGTTTTTTGCTCTTATTCTTGCACTCATGCTCTTTGTGACCAACTTGCTTGCAACTAGTGTAAAACCGATCATTGTTCTTTACAAAACTAGTCTTGTGAGGAGCAAAGGCTGCCTTGCCTTTCTTGGGGGTATAGCCCAATCCCTCTTTATAGAGAGAAGCTCTTTGGCTACCCAAGCATATAAGCAAGCGGTCCTCACCACCATAGGCCTTAGCCAAAGTGTGTGTGAGCTCATTAACCTCCTTCTTGAGAGTCTTATTCTCAACCATTAGTGATGCATCACAAGTGAAACCATCACTACTAGATGAGGTGGAAGTAGAAGTGCTACAAAAAGGGTTAGTGGGAGCAACAATGATATGCTTATATAATGATTCATCAATTATATCATAAGTTAAGCCTACATCATATATCTCAACATGTTTTTTTTCTCATTTTATTCATTAAGCGAAGAGAAATGAGCTTTTGCAAGCTTCTTGTGAGCATTGCCAAGCTTCTCATGGGCTTCCTCTAGCCTCTCATGAGATGCATTGAGCTCATCAAAGGCTTGCTTAAGGGCTTTTAGTTCCTTATGCAAGCTTTTGTATTCCCTTCTCTTAATGTCAAAGTGTTCTTTAGCATCATCTAGCATGTCAAGTAGTTCATCCTTAGTTGGTTCATCATCATCACTATCACTTTTATTTTTATTATCATATTCCTCATCACTTTCATCATCATAAGTTTGTACCTTAGTGGCCTTAGCCATGAAGCATGATGGAGTGTCGAGGAGAGAAGGCTTCTCATTGATAGCAATGCTTGCAAGTGCCTTCTTCTTGGTGGTCTTGTCATCATCACTTGAGGAAGCATCACTATCCCAAGTGACCACATATGAACTACCCTTCTTCTTGAAGGTCAAATTGTTCTTCTTCTCTTTCTTTTCCTTCTTATCTTTCTTCTTATTATTCTTGTTGTTATCATCATTATTGCTATTGTATGGGCATTGAGCAACAAGATGATCCTTACTTCCACAATTGAAGCACCTTCTTGACTCTTCTTGTTCTTGGATGAAGACTTCTTTCTTCTAGCATGATAGCCCTTCTTCATCATGAACTTGTCAAACCTTTTTACAAAGAGAGCCATCTTCTCATCATTCATCTCATCAAAGCTCAAGTCTTTATCTTCACTTGATGAATCTTGCTTTGCCTTGCCCTTTGATGATGTGGCCTTGAACGCCACACTCTTCTTCTTCTTCTCATCTTTCTTCTCCTTCTTTTCTTCCTTATCATCATCTCTATATATATCATCGATCATTATATCTCCCAACACTTGGTTTGGTGTCATGGTGTCCAAACCACTCCTCACTAGAATAGTAACCAATGTGCCAAATCTTGAAGGTAAGTATCTCAAGAACTTGTGGGAGAAGTCCTTGTCCTTCATCTCCTCTCCAAGTGCTTTGAGATCATTGACAAGCACTTGAAGCCTATAAAACATCTTTGGCACACTCTCATCCTCCTTCATCTTGAAGCTTATAAACTTCTTCTTGAGAATGTATGCCTTTGCACCCTTCATGGCTTGAGTGCCCTCAAATGATTCCTCCAACTTCTTTCATGCCTCATGAGCTCTCTCAATGTTCTTTTATCAATAGCATCATGAATGGCACTAAGAGCAATGCCATTATTTTGAAGAAGCATTTCTTCGGCGGTGGTGGGGTTCTCTGGATCCTCTATCTCAATCTTGGTCTCCACCACCTTCCAAACTTTTCTATTGATTGACTTGATATATGTTGTTATCTTAGCCTTCCAATAGAGATAGTTTGAGCCATTAAATTAGGGTGGCTTCTTAGTGTTGTTGATTTGAGCCATTTTTACATCGAAGGTTGTTAAGCCTCAAAATCATGGTGACCATGGCTCTAATACCACTTATAAAGTCCTAATGGCTAGAGGGGGGGTGAATAGCCTATTTAAAATTTCTACAACAACACTTCGCAAACCAGTAAGACAAATATGAGGCGACGCGAGTGTTGCGCTAGCCTACTAAAAGTGCAAGCCACCTACCACAATTCTAGTATGTATTGTCTCTATCCACACAATGGCTATGTCACTACACTAAGTGTGCTCTCAAAGGCTAACTAAAGAGCCACACTAACCAAATTAACAAGCTCTCACGACTAGCTACACTAAAAAGCTTGACAACTAGTTTGCGGTAATGTAAAGAGAGAGAGCAAGATGGTTATACCGCCAAGTCGAGGAATGAACCGATCAATTACAAGAATGAATATCAATGAAGACCAATCACCGTGGAATCAAATGATGACACAATGATTTTTACCGAGGTTCACTTGCTTGTCGGCAAGCTAGTCCTCGTTGTGGTGATTCACTCACTTGGAGGTTCATGCGCTAATTGGCATCATAAGCCAAACCCTTAATAGGGTGCCACACAACCAACAGAAGATGAGGATCACACAAGCCACGAGTAATTTACTAGAGTACATTTTAGCTCTCCGTTGAGAAAAGGTCAAGAACCCCTCACAATCACCATGATCGGAGCCGAAGACAATCATCAACCTCCGCTCGATGATCCTCGCTGCTCCAAGCCGTCTAGGTGGTGGCAACCACCAGGAGTAACAAGCGAATCCCACAGTAAAACACGAACACCAAGTGCCTCTAGATGCAAACACTCAAGCAATGGACTTGGATTCACTCTCAATCTCACAAAGATGATGAATCAATTATGGAGATGAATGGGAAGGCTTTGGCTAAACTCATAAGGTTGCTATGTCAATGTAAATGGCTCAATTATTGGGATGACTGCAGGATGACTGGACGCGTCGGTCAGATTAAACGGATGCACCCTGCCAGCGTCCAGTCGCGCTACACCATCCACGCGTCGCTTTGCATTCAACCAGAGCCGCCCGATCTCAACAGTAATTTAGCGCGCCAACAGTCACACGATGACCGGACGCAGCACAGCGAGGATGACCGGACGCTGCAACGCTTGAGTCCAGTCGTTTCCAGAGAGCTCCCTGAGCCTCTGTTTTACGACCGGACATGTTCGGTCCCTGGTGATCGGACTCGTGTCTGCGTTCGATCCCCTCTGGATCAACTCAGTGCGCTACGTCAGCATACGTCATCACTGACCGAACACAGGCCCTGCACATCTAGTCACTTTTATCGTGCAGTGTTCGATCACTTGATCGTGATCGCGCCCAATTGCTGCCACTGACCGGACGCGCCGGACCTGTCGAGGCCAGCATTCGGTCACTCACAGTGACCTCCTTTCGCCCCCTTTTCTTCACCGAGTTGATCCTCATCAACTCTAACTTCTTCTCCTTTACAAATGTGCCAACATCATCAAATGTACAACACCTTGTGCATGTGTGTTAGCTTTTCATAAACATTTTCAAGGGTGTTAGCACTCCACTAGGTGCTAAATGCATATGCAATGAGTTAGATCATCTAGTGACACTTTGATAACCGCATTTCGATACGAGTTTCACCCCTCTTAATAGTACGGCTATCGATCCTAAATGTGATCACACTCACTAAGTGTTTCAATCACCAAAACGAAAAAGCTCATATTAAGTTTCACCTTTGCCTTGAGCTTTTTGTTTTTCTTTCTTCTTTTTCAAGTCAAGCATTTGATCATCACCATGCCATCACCATCATCATGTCATGATCTTCATTTACTTCATCACTTGGAGTAGTGCTACCTATCTCATAATTACTTTGATAAACTAGGTTAGCACTTAGGGTTTCATCAATTCACCAAAATCAAACTAGAGCTTTCAGCGGTGTTTCTTCCCCGCTGCGTCCCATCCTCCGCCCTGCTCTGTCTCTGTTGCGCCCCTTCCCCTGCAGCACACTATCCTCCACGTGTGGCGCTCTGCTCCTGTCGTAACGTCACATCTCCTCTGCAACATTCGTCCTGCGGTTGCAACATATGCAACATATATGTATAGTCATTGCAACATCTAGATGAGACACTTGCAACGTATGTATGAAATAGCTGAAACATTTGAAACATATACTTACAACATACGTCTGAAACAACTGAAAACATTTAGAACATACACTTGCAATATACGTGTATGGCCATTGCAATATATATAACACCAGATTTTTGCAACATTCAGATAAAACACATGGTTGCAACATATGCTCATCTACTTGATGATTGGGCAAATGGAGCCTCTTTGACGCGGAGCTCGATGCCAAAGAGTGGCTTGGAGGTCGCTAGTGCAGAGCTCATCGGTGGTATGAACCTTAGGAGTGGTCGCGACAGGCAATGGAGTGCAGCCGTGGGAGTCGCGAGTTTGAGCGGGAGGCACAGTGGAAGCATCGAATCCGTGCGGGCGGGGCGAGACGACGGACGGACACGCATTATCGTTATCTTATATATGCATGGAAGCAACAAAATGGTACATGACGATCTTACTCATATTTGATTATACATGTACATGAGTACTAAACAGATTACAGATAAGAAAATAGACGGACTAGTTTTCAAACTGTATGTGCGTGATGTGGTAATCATCTATATACAAATAAAATATCGTCATTAGATTACATGCCTTTACTTGTGCCCTTTTTTCCTTCAAAACTTACCTATACTATTTTTTTTAGAGATAAACGTGGCAACAAATCAACCGCCCCAGATCTATCCCCCTCCGGCCCATCCCCTCCATTCCCGACCCCACAATCCCTAGACCCGGTCCACCACACCTCGGCTTCCTTCCTCCCCAGTCCCCACACTCCAACTGCAGCCATCCGCCATTCCCGAGCGTCCAGAAGCTCGCTTGGCAATGGCGAGGCTTCTCGTGCTCCGCGCGGCGCCGTACCGCCACTCCTCCCACCTCTGCGCTGCCACCCTCGTTCTCTCCCCCTCCCAGCACCACCACTTCGCCTCCTTCCCCGCCCCTCCCCCCTTCGCCGCGCGCCGCACCCTCCCCTCGCCGCTCCGCGTCCCTATCCGCGCAGTGGAGTCCTCCCCCGGGCCCACCAAAGAGGAGCAGGAGCCGTCTCCGGCCGCCAGTGAGGCCCAGGAGCAGCTATCGCCCGCGGTGCCGGCGTTCGAGGTCGAAGAGCTTGGGTGGGGGACCCAGCTCGCCGTCAAGCTCCGCATGCTCGTGGCGCCGCCGTGGCAGCGCGTCCGCAAAGGAAGCGTCCTCAACATGAAGCTACGCGGCGAGGTGATTGCTTCCGCACGGCACGGAGCACTTGCCGTTTTTGCTCTCCTATAATGCGATTTGATCATTTCGTACATTCTGAAGGTCTTCGTAGTGTGTGTCTTAGGGCCTGTTTGGCTCCACTGTGATTTATAATAATCATCTAAAATAATCTATAGATTATGACCTGGATTATATCCACCGCGGACCTGATTTTTGGTGATCATGAATATTTTTCACTTGAACTAAGAATAATCCAGGAATCCAAACACTCACATCATTATAGTTCATAATCTAGACTGTAATAATCCTATGTTTAATCTAAGATTATAATAATCCAGTTGTGATCACCCTTAATATTTTTGTGCTGGCTGTTTAGCTTTGCTTTCATAGAATCTTATGGTGTTGGCTCCACTCTCGTCCAATATTACTTGCCATTGTGTAATCTAGACTTTGTCTTCTTCCCCCAGTTGTTGTCAACTTTGCTAATGTATGGCGTATGCTCTATGGTGTGACTTTGTGATTTTTGTTGTCGCTGGTAATGGTTGCAGATATCTGATCAATTGAAGACACGCTTCTCGTCAGGGCTGTCACTACCACAAATCTGTGATAATTTTGTTAAGGCAGCATATGACCCACGGATCTCAGGGATTTATCTGCACATAGAGCCACTGAGATGTGGGTGGGCAAAGGTGGATGAGATCAGAAGGCACATTGTGGATTTCAAGAAGTCTGGTACTCATAGAAGCTGCTCTAAATTTTGTTCATTACTTATGTCCATGCATGGCGGATGATGAACACATTTTGAACATTCTTTTAGGTAAATTTGTTGTTGGTTATATGCCTGTTTGTGGGGAGAAAGAATACTACCTTGCCTGCGCATGTGGTGAGCTATATGCACCTCCAAGTGCTTACGTTGCTCTGTTTGGCCTAACTGTTGGGCAAACATTTCTCAGAGGTAATTTCTTGTACGAAAATGACATGAAACATCTACTTTCCTTTTTTTTCTGTTGGGCCCTTGGGGGTGGGGTGTTGAACAAGAAGCATTATGCTCTTATGAAAACCTGTTTTTAAGTGTCATCTCTTAATAGTGGAAAGAGATTTTGCTGATTTATCATGGTTGTAGCGGTGCAATAGAACTAGTTAAGTTGTTAGCTCAGATTACTGATTGGATGGTTTTCGTGTGTATTACCTCGAATGTGCTTTCTTATACGTATTTTCTCTTAGTACAGCGATAATTCATTCTATTATAGTAATTGTTATGCTCTTAGTATATCCACTCCAGTTAAACACAAAGTGATTCATTAAGTACATGCAGTTAACTTTCTAAAATATTGGCGACCTTTACCTCCAAATATTAGATAGGGCCTGTGGAAATGGTATTCACAGATTTATCTTGAAAATACTCATACTAGGTTTTATAAATATGTTAGAAGAAACACTAGTGATTAGTTATATCTTTGATTCTGCAAAAATAAAATTTGTGTCTTGGGATGATATTGATCACCTAAAGTTTTACTTCTTTATGACTGCTGAGACTATTGTCTAATGCATTTCTGTTAGTTTCACTTCTCACTGGGTGCTAAGTTTTGTACAGTTGGTCATACTTTACATTTTATTATTCCACACACAGATAACTTGAATGCAGTTAAGTTCGTCTGAGGGTATCTAATAATTTTGAATTCCATCGGTAAGGTGTCCTTGAGAAAGTTGGAATAGAACCAGAAATTCAACGAATTGGTAAATACAAAAGTGCTGGAGATCAACTCGCACGCAAGAGCATGTCAAATGAAGTCAGGGAGATGCTGGCGACACTGCTTGACAATATTTATGGAAACTGGCTGGAAACAATATCTTCTACACATGGTAATTCCAGCAAATCTGTTTTACACGTGTTAAGAGAAAATGTCATTGCAGAGTTTGCTCTACAGGGAAGAAAAAAGAAGAAATCGAGGGATTTATTAATTCAGGGGTCTACCAGGTTGCCAGACTCAAGGAAGAAGGTTGGATAACAGATTTACTGTATGATGATGAGGTATGGGTTACTGAATTAACTGTTAGCATGGTGAAGTTAATTGCACAGATAGTTACTACAGATAGCATTTCATGTTCAGAACACATCCATTTTGGTTGTTTATTTAAGTCATTTTCAACGGAAAGATGAAACTGGAGAAGATTGTGTCTTATTGCAGTAGGGTATTTACCTAAAAAAAGAAACCCAAAAGAGCTGCATGAAGCAAAATGGAAAGTAAATTATGGACATTAGCAATATATTGCTCACAACAGTTGTAGGAGTGAAAGAATATCGATTTCTAGTTTATGGTTTTGGCATGTGAATTGCTAACTTCCATGTGTTCATCAGATGACAATTCTTCATTTTGCCACCTTCTAAATATCGCCTTCCCCCATCCATGATGGAACAAAGAACTTTTCAATTAGGTTGCAAGGGCCTTTTAGTCAATTCTTATTAAGAAGTGTTCACAAAAGTTTAGGATCCATATAGGACAGTAAATTGACGTTTTAGCTATCCATAGGTTCCTTATTTTACCATTGTATAATTTGGCAAGAAATAAATTATTGGCAGTCTGTGCAATTCATGGTGCCAAAGATAATCAAGTATGCATGAAGATGAATAGATGCAGCATTGTGCAAGCTGCAAGGCATTTATGTTCGTGATGCATATACCATGCTATATTTTGTTTCGAACCAAATGGTTCTTTTTAATAAGGAAACCAAAGTTTTGAACTTATGGAACAAGCTATTGATACACAATTACTTTACTTCTTTCACTGACAGCATTAAGTGTCCCCTTTAATGTTCAATACAAATGTGTTTTTGTTATGCGTAGTAACAATTCATAAATGAAATACGGTTCTAATGATATAACTTACTTTTCTTCTGCATGTGTCTTTGTTGCCATTGTCTAATTCAACAGGTAATGACATTACTAAAGGAGAGAGTAGGGCAGAAAGACAAGAAAAGTCTGCGTATGGTTGACTACAGGTAATTTTTGTATTTCTGTGACACTAGGAATAAAGTAGTTTATCAGAATGCTCCTGTCAATTGTTCTGGAAAACTGGCTGATTTTTTTAGTTTTTTCTGTACATATATTTTTATGTTACATTTCAAATCCTGACATTTGAAATACATGCGACTAGAAGGATACCCTGCGCATTGCTGCAGGTTTTTTTAGAAATAAAACAGTTGCATGTATGAGCTAAACCTATATGTTCTTACATTACATCTATTCTTACCAAAACCAGGCAAGGCAATAAAAAAGAATCGAATAAAAAAAAACAGAATTAGATCGAATTATAAGATGATGGAATGGCAAAACAAATAGCAATATATGGATGCCTTCTGTATTTCTTATATATTGAAAGTAGTAATTCGCTTAGTGGAGATGACGTGGATAGCTTGCATTAAAAGGTTGAAAGTTGGTAGTATGAGTGTATGACATGGTTATTAGTGGGAGATTATGTGGATAGTTAGTGGGAGATGATGTGGATGGCTTGCATGTTGAGATAGAACTTGTAGTGGGGATTAGCTTTATAGAAGATATAGATATAGATAAGCTCTGTAGTATGCATTATTTTACTCATTCTGCGCAATATAGCTTTACATAGGGTGTGATGATTGCTTGCATTAACCTTACTTGCATTAGGGCAGCTCCAACGTATAATCTTGGCCAAAGTGCAAACATCTGACACGTCAAGAGGTGCTTTGCTAGCAAAAAAGTCTCCAGTGTATAAATTTCTTAGCACATACTAAGATGGGATCTGCAACAAATAAAATATTGTTTACAGGCCAATGGATGTAAAGGTGGTGTGGTGAACCTGTATCACACAACTTTTTTTTTGTTTGCACCGGGTGCTCAAATAGCCCACAGGTGCTTGCTGGTTCTAGCATAGCACCATCTCTCCAATGTATTACACCTGTGTATCTAGTTTCTCTCTCCTGCTAGCACTGGCTTAGCAAGCACGTTGGAGCTGCCCTTAGAGCTTATGCAGTATAACCCAAACCAGCATAAACGTCTGCAATGTCTTGGTGTTTGGTTGTCCAATCAAGCCGTGTTCAGTAAAATTATGTTTGGTTGCTCACATTGTGTTGCATGCAATCACCTCCATGTTCTAGTAGAGGTCTGTAGAGGCAGGGGAGGTTAAAATATTTCATTTTTGTGTGCCTCATTAGTTTGTGCAAATCTGCATTGCTTGGTATGACCAAATCTGGCATACTAGCTAATCCTGTAACCTGTATTGGACCTGCTTTGAGCACTGTACAAGCCTGCATAAGAGCCTCTGCGAGCAACCAAACATGGGCAAACTGCATTACACAAGCCTGCATAAGAGCCTCTAGCGGGCAACCAAACATGAGCAAACTGCATTGCACAAGCCTCGATACAGGCTAATGCAGGCAACCAAACAGGCCCATAGAGGTCTCCTCCAGCCGAACATGTCAAACAGACCTATATTACATGTATGCTATCTTAGTTCATTTTAGCAAGTTTTGTGTCATCCCAGTGACCCAAAACAAGTGGAACCTGCTTGCCTATGCTTTCTAGTCCAGGATGTTAATTCCTATATACTTTTATTAGTATTACTGTTTCATGTGCTGAACTAATGAAGATTCTCTTTACAGTAAATACTCGCGTGTTAGTAAACAGACTCTTGGATTACAAGGAGGAGGTGAACAAATTGCCATAATCAGAGCTTCTGGAAGTATAACACGGACCCGTAGCCCATTGAGTGCTCCTGGTTCAGGCATTATCGCTGAGCAGTTTATTGAGAAGATACGAACTGTTAGAGGTAATTTTGCTATATTATTTCAGCGATCAGTTGATACTCCTTCAGAAGTAAATTTGATTTGTTGTTTGTAAGCGATCAGGTAATTTTGCTATATTATTTCAGCGATCAGTTTATATCTTTGTTTTGGAATCTGATCTGGAAGTTACTTTAGTACCAACTATTGCTCAAGGCCCCCTGCAAATTTAAAAGGCATATATGTGGGTTTCTAATTGATACTGAACACATGATATATAATCTCTTTCTAATTTGCCTCTCCATACCCCTCTTTGGTTCAGCCAAAAAATGTTGAATAGAGATCATTTTATAGCAAGGCATTCAGTCACTCTTTGCTTAATATGAAAAATTGAAGCTTTCCATTTCCACTTATCTATGTCAATTCATTGTTCAATTTCAGTTTGTGCAGAACCACTCAGAATAATTAACTCATGGAATCCCATAGCTAGTGAGGACTTGTTTCATTTACGCTCTTGGCCCCTTCAAAGGATTTTTTTTTACCCAATTAAACCAGATATGCTGAAGATGAAGATATTTTCTTGTAAAAAATTCAGCAAAACCATCTGTAACACTATCCCTTCCTTTACACTTTAGCAAACCTTACAAGCTCACTTTGCAACCTTATTTTGTTATTCCCCAAAATTTTACTTGCGCTGCTCGATCTCTCTGACCACAAATATAAAGGCATTGGGACATTTACACAAATAGGTGGAACTTTGACTAGAAAATTATATGAAAATATGATTTATAAGATGAAGATGATTATGTCTTGAAAGTACTTTTCATATGGACCAATTGAGTGGATACGGTTGTAGCGCAGCGGCAAAGGCTTGCTGTGAGCAGCCTGCCAAACTGAGCTTCAACCAAACACTGCATTGTTGTGCCCACCTTCCTGAGTAATAGAAGAGCATAGGGTTGCGCCAAAGAAGTAAGACTATGTGGGAGGTTTCTGCCTGTTTCGTGGTTCAGCGGGCCCCTGTCTTAGAACAACATCAGGGAGACGTCTCTCCCACTGATCGAGTTTTTTTTTTTTGTGTGTGTGTGTGTATGGGCCAGTTAACATCAATTTTCCATTGTTAATCTATCTAATTCTTTACATGGTCATGACTGAATCTTTTGGCAGCATAGGTTCTGAAACTTATTTTTAAGATCAGAGGAAGTAGTCCACTGGACTCTAGGAGATTCTTATAGTTTACATGAGCATGTACATATTGTGCAAACTCCTGTTATTTCAACTGACAATTCTATCACTTCTAATTATATAGCTTCTTACGCTTTACAGAATCAGAAAAGTACAAAGCTGTTATCTTACGTATAGACAGCCCTGGTGGTGATGCTCTTGCTTCTGACCTGTAAGTTACGCCTTAGGATTTACTTCTCAGCAGCAGCAGCAGAGTATTCAGTAACATATTACGAATTCTTGCTTTAACTAGGATGTGGAGAGAAATCAGACTTCTAGCTAACTCTAAACCTGTGGTTGCTTCGATGTCTGATGTCGCTGCAAGTGGGGGGTACTACATGGCAATGGCTGCACCAGTAATTGTTGCTGAGAAACTTACTCTTACAGGATCAATTGGAGTTGTTACAGGTGATCCTTATTATCTTGTGTTCCAACTTCTAAGGTTCTAAGGTTATCCACCTGCAATTGTCACTTCTTCAGAATTGAATTAACTCTAGTCTATTCAGAATTCAGGTAGTAAGTAGAGCTATCGTTATTTATTTATTCATGTTTTAATACTGGTTTATGGGATTGCAGGGAAGTTCTGCCTTCAAAAGTTGTATGAGAGGATTGATTTCAATAAAGAGATTCTATCCAAGGGTCTATACGCTGAGCTTAATGTTGCTGATCAACGACCTTTAAGGTCAGATGTTGCATTATTTACATCATGTTATTAGTAATACTGGACCATTAGTTAATAATAGGAACAACATAAAAGCAGTACACTGGAACTGTGGTATAGTTTGCAGTGATTCCGGTGTCATAAACTCCCCCTCCGCCCATTAATGTAAGGCATATTTTGGTAGGATAAAAGTTTTTCAAAGTATATTTTGGATCTTAGTTTCTCTCACGATATGTTGTTCAACAACAACAAAGCCTTTTAGTCCCAAACAAGTTGGGGTAGGCTAGAGTTGAAACCCAACATGAGCCCCTAGTCACGGTTCAGGCACGTCAATAGCTGCTTTCCAAGTACTCCTATCCAAACAAAGATCTCTAGGTATATCCCAACCTTTCAAATCTCTTTTTATTGCCTCCCCCCACGTCAGCTTCGGTCTTCCTCTACCTCTCCTCACATTGATATCTCGACAACATTTTTGAAATTATAAGTTAGCGAATTTCCTGCAGTGTTGAAGTATGACTGCATGAACCACACAAACATTTAGGTGCTGTTTGGTTGGTTCCTTTTTCGACATGAATCGATTACAGTGCGATTAGATCACGTTAGTTTTTGTTTGCCTGGAGTACAATGGTAACGCATACCACAGGAGTAGACCCGGGCCTTCAGCAAACTTATCACGCCCAATTATTGGTGGTAGCTGATAGCGCTCCTGTCCGGCAACTGTTTTCCTGTTACCAGCGCTGGACCAAACAGATAGCGTAGTAGCTGATTCCATTTACGTTGCCGCTAGGAAGCTGTTCCCTTCACGCTGATGTTGCCAGTGGTGGAACCAAACAGCACCTCAGTGAACATGAACTTCCATAATGTAGCCTATTGGGCGAGTTATTTGTTGTGGGCTTATATCATATAATTAACTGTGGCATTTGATGTGTTATGTGTAATATTTCGTTTTAGAACTGAGAGTAAGTCCATGAGACCATGACCCTCCATGCTTTGTGTGTGAATAGAGAAGAAGTAAAACTTTTTTTTTTTTGTCTACTACTCTATTATGGTTGTGAAGCACTGAAGCCAAGATGACCATCTGTTGTAATTCCTCTTAGTTAACATGTTTTTTCTTCTGAAAAATCTTAGTTGATAAGTTTAAACACCCTTATCCTTTTTTTTTTGAGAAAATGGTTCAGTCCGGCATTTGAACCTATTCTCCCACCTTAATGGAGAATGTCACAGACCGAATAGGATAGCTGAGGGAGGTGGAGGCCTTTGGTCGTTCTGCTGCCGGTTTCCTGCCAGTGGTAAGTGGTTGACGCCGGTGAGGCTCTGAGCAAGGAGATGAGAGAACAGATTAATTTATTGCTTACCCAAAACTATCATATTTGTAGCTGGCTGTTTGAATCCATCATCTCTAGACACTAACAAACGGTAACTTACTAACAAACTTCTTTATCTAAACCAAGCAACTAACTGAACTTGGCTATCAAGCAAAGATCTAAACCAGCTGGACAATGACTGCAGACCACCCCTGACGCCTTCTGTGATAGTGCTTGCCCATCATAATTCATAACAGAGCATCAATGCAACTGGGTTGCAATGGAACCACTGATTGGCCAGGCTGTCTGCACTGCTACCAATTTCATGGCTTCCAGATTTGCAGTTAGTTGTTTTATGCTTCACTATCGTATGAACCGCCTTGAATTTGAAGTACTTGATGTATTTCCACAGACCAGACGAGGCAGAGCTTTTTGAAAAGTCAGCACAAAATGCTTATGCATTGTTTCGTGATAAAGCAGCCATGTCGCGATCAATGAGTGTAAGGACTGATCTCAGATGTTGAGTAGATAATGGATCTTCAAATATGTGCTAAGTGCTTGTCCCTCCAGGTTGATCAGATGGAGACTGTTGCTCAAGGTCGAGTGTGGAGCGGCCATGATGCGATTTCAAGAGGGTTGGTTGATTCAGTAGGTGGACTCTCACAAGCTCTTGCTATTGCAAAACAGAAAGCTAATATACCCAAGGATAAGAAGGTATGTTCTATTATAAAGACTTACGTATTTTGATTAAATTCCTATATTGCATGCATATGAGTGCAGCATTTTTCTTTTCTAGTATTCAGCTGTTACCTTATCAATGGTTGTCATTCTCTGAACTAGCAGAGCTTTCCATGTTTAGTTCATCCGTTTCTGTTTGGATTTGTTGTAGTTCTGTTACTTCTTTATGTCTTGCTTTCGTACTTTATTTCACTTCTCGACAAATTATGCAAGCTTCCTGTATTCATGGAGTGACTTTGGTAGGAAATGCATAATGAGTTCACTTCCAGATGCTGATTGTATGCTAAACACTGCAGATCCAGCTAGTTGAAGTTTCAAAGCCCTCCCCATCATTACCAGAGATCTTATCCGGCATTGGAGGTTCGTTGCTTGGAGTTGACAGGGCAGTGAAGGGAGTGCTCCAGGACATGACCGCCCTAAGTGGAGTCCAAGCTAGGATGGATGGAATCTTGTTTGAAAATTTAGGAGATATGTCAGGAGAAAATCAATTATTGTTGCTCATAAAAGATATCATGAACTATTTTGATTGATTCTAGCATTCAGGTCCTTATGTTACAAACATTTGTATTTAGGGATGAGGGAAAATTCATAATGTCCTTACACATCTACCTTGTCGCAGAACCGACCAATTTATAAGAATACAAGGACAATGGCAATCCATACACATAAACCCAGGTCGTTTACCACGGGGTCTCGATTTTTCAACAACCAAGATACAACATACATGCCACATAATACATAAAGTTCATAGATACTTTTCATCATCATTAAAAGTTATATGCAAGTTTGATAAATAAAGCGGAAGCAAATATTCTTTTCCAACATAGTTTGATGACTAAAAAGATCACGGTCCACAAAAGATAGGAATTACTAAAGAAGCAAAAAGGCTTACTCCTCATCCACAATTTCTTGCAATAACCATGATACATGATATTAACATTGGGAAAATAAACCACGAGTAATCCCATGAACACTCAAGGGTATGCCCTAAATGGATTCAACATTTTGCGAAAAAGGTGATCCGTTTACAATTATGATTCCTTTATTAATTATAACTATCCATTTCTAGATTAGCACTCCTGTACCAAACATGTGTATCATTTATTCTACATAGCGGTATTGAAATTTATTTTCATCATGTCATTTCCATAATACGAAGATGTTGGAGCTGTACTATCCCGGAGATGACCCCGAATCGTTTCAACCAAATTGGGGATTCCTAACACAAACCCAGGTCTCCTTGATAGCCTTAGGTCACATTTGGTACAACTCAGTACACACATTTCATGGTTATGTCCGCGACCGCACAATCTGGAACACCAAATGCCGGGATGCTCAGCCAAACCTGCCTTGGGCTCAGTCGATCGTTCCCCGGAAGGCGCACAATCGATTCCGGCTGAGTTGAATTACTCGGCTTCAGCGGTGCAATTGGCCATAAGTGAGAGGCATTCTTGTCAGTTCCAACAACGGTGGGCCTTGATCGGTTTAGATCCACACCCAAGACCTCCATGTCTTGTTGCTTCTCTATCGACATTCTTATTTACATTAACCATGGTTCTTTTCCAGATAGCAATTATAACCAACCGCGTGCTCCGGTATCCACCTATTCTGCTGAAAAATCAAAGGTCTAAGCATGGCTAACATATATTCGATCACCTATACCGTTAAAGGTGTAATATCTGGACAAGGAATGTACATGCATCAAGTGGTTTCATTCAACTCTTATAACCTAATGCAAAGAATCATAAGTACTTAAATAAACATTTATAAATTCTTGGAGACTTATAATGCTCCGGGCTTGCCTCATGAAAGGAAGTAGGGCGATGGTCGGGGCACTCCTAAGCTCTTCAGTGGTTCTGCTCCCTTGGGAGTCTGCGCTTTGCGGATCCTCCTGCGGGTTCCCTTCCTCTCGCTTCTTCAATTCCAACAACGTGATCTCTTCCTCCGATCCTAGATGCATGAGTATGGTATAAGTATTACGAATGCATATATGTTAACAAGTGCATCACGTTGTTTGATAGGTGCATATCTCTTCTCGGTTACTTAACTACTTCTATAATGCATCGACTATGCCACAAACAAGTTACTTGTTTCGCTCATAACTGAGTTCTACAAATCCAAATCCAGTGGGACTTTCTGCTTATCAAATTTTCTACAACTTTGTTATTAACCATTTTACAGTACACCTCAGTTTCAACATGCAAATCCTCACACTCTAGAATCAGTCCGGAAATGACTTAACATGCAATATAAAGTAAGAATACTTCTACTTCAGGTAATCATTCAAAATTTGACAACCTAGAACCTACCAATAGTTTAAGCATACCAAATACAGTTAAGATGATATAATGGTGAAGCCCAAACTATTTATTAAATTGCCTTTATTATTTTATTTAGATATCTAGGTTAAATAATAAATATATATCAGATGTGCTTAATAAATTCTCAAAAATTTACAGAGCCTTACTAATGCTATCGAACGACTGCTATAAAAATTTCAGGACATTTTACTAAGTAGAACATTCTATACAAAAATGACAAGGCAGCAAGGCTTGAAATAGCATAAATGGAAAATCCTATTGAAAAGTGTCAAGCAACAGATTTCATATTTTTCTTAGCATCCATATGGTACTAGGATTACCTCCAACAAATTTCATGAATTTTGGACTCATACTTAATTTATGAAAATTCATGCAAGGATTAACTAGTCATAAAAGAAAAATCTATAACTTTAAATCTACCCATGCACTGGTCCTCAAATTTTTACCAGAGTTCACACATGCTAAGATTAGTTCACCACAAAAATTTCATAATTTTTGGAGCACAGGAACTCTAGATATAAAATAAACAAATTTAAATGCATTCAAAAGCACATTTAAAATCCCTATTTAAATCTCCAGAAATTTCTACGGTTGAACCCAAGAACATATTTTTCTTAAATACTACATTTCCTAAGGAACACAACCATATTTATTTCACAAATTTAGGAGCTACCAAACTGAAGATACAAAATTCACAAAATAAATCAAAAACTGGATTCAAAATGAGTTAGCCTTCAATACTGCTGTCGCTGACAGGTGGGACCCGCTGGTCAGGGGACCCACCCCAGTCGAGGGACACGAGCAGCAGAGCAGCGGCGGCACTGCTGGTCATGCGCTGCCCAGCTCTGACCGACGGCCGCCCACCCGTGCATCATGGTATGACCTCGTGACTGGCGAACCTCATCGAGCCACTTGGCCGGTCCTATTGCCGACCCTAGAGCTGACGGCGGCGGCCATGGCGGAACGGCGGGGCTGGACCACGGCAAAACGCCGGTGTGGGCTACGGTGGCGCAAGGTCAAGCTCGGACGAGCGTATACTACCTAAGACAAACTCAACGCGCTTAGCTAACGCCGGAGAGGTGGACGGTGGCGCTCGGCCCGCGGTGACGAGGGCTCGCGGGATGCTCCGGCGAGGTCGTGCGCTGCACGCTTACCGGGCGCGCATGCACAAGGTGCGGTGAGACTTCGGTGATGTCGGAGTGGAGTGGCTGCGGTGGCGAATGGCGAGGTGGAGCGAGCCGGTGCCGGTAATGGCGACGACGGGTGCTCGGCTGCCTGCGGTGGTGCTGCGCGGCGAAGAAGGAGCCGAGGCGGTTAAAATGGAGCCTTGGCGGGGGGTGGGCGGACGTGCTGGCGGGGTTAAGGCCGTGCCCAGCGCGTCGTGGCTCTGCAGACAGAGTCTTGGCGACAGCGCGCGCCGTCCGGGACACGCCACGGCAATGTTCTGTCTCGGTCGATCACTGTACATTCGCGATTCGATTGATTCGAGACGAAGCGTGCGATGTCGACAACGTTTTTCAATCGATTTAAGCGCTAAACCGTGGCTCCAACTCGTAAACCGTCTTAACAAAAATCCTAGCCCTATGTACCAGCTTCAACTTTCGTTCAAGGATCATGCTCCAATTCTCAACAGAAATGGGTAAAATCATGATCAAGTTCGGCTTGTCGATCGGTCAATCAATGAACCTAGACTTAGAAAAATTGCTTAAGTGTTGAAAACACTTCGATGATTTTGAAATCCAAATTCAAGCAGGTTAGGAGCTGAATCAGTCAAAGGCCCAAAAATCAAAGTTGTTCCTTATGTCAAACACTACAACATTGCTTTAGTGAACTCCTCCATGCAAGGTCTCTAACACCTAGTTCAACTTTGGTCAAACATGTCACTTTGAAATCATGATACATACACAAACCAGGGCTAAATGACTAAACTAGCCTTAGCACTAAATACCAAAGTTGTTCCTAATGATATCCTAAGCATGTTTAAACAATTTGCAAGGTCATTTAAGCATTTCATGTAGTAGTCACTCATATAGCTATTGAAAGTAATCACATGAAATATCACTTTAGTGCTTGGTCATGAAATGTGGCCTTCATGAACAAGGTTCCTTTTGTTAACCTAAGTATAGCTAAGGTGTTTTAGTGACCAACATTACCCACTTGCATTCATTTGCACATGATCATATGCCTATGTTCCAAGAAACACGAGATAACAAGCAATGTTTCATATGTTTCGATCAAATGTTTCAATTGTAAGTGATGATTTATGAATGCTTGATGCTCATGCTCATGTTATGCGAGTCAAGTTATGCAAGGCTAACACCCGAGGTGTTACATACCTTACACAGAAACAGGTCGTTTGGGATTTGTACAGTTAATTTAGCATTGTATATGCTATTTTATTCTTTTGCATTGATGACTAAAAATATCATGATTGATATACTGGGAAAAAGAAAAAGGAACTTCACCTTTTCTTATGCATGATATTAACTCTAATCCCCCAAGGGCCCTTGCATTCACTGGTGAGATTTTATTATATGTTGCACTATGTAGCATATTCTACATTATTGGTTTCATGTTTTTGAAGAGTTTGTAGGATGACCCCGAAGTTTCAGGGAGGTTCCTTGTGACTGGAAACCCAGGAACACACAGCCTTATGACAGGAGCTCCAGTGATCTGCACAATCAGGTGCATTGGCCATATTTCAGATCGGGCAGGTTTGGGTTTGCATAACTTATTTAGGAGTCTGTGCAGACGATTAAATTTGCTGAAAAATGAAGGTAACTACATTTGCACTCAGTAGTGCTTTGACAGCACTGTTCGATATGTATGTGCTGTGTGCCTGTGTATGGGCCTCCTGTGGCTGTGCGCAGGTTATCTCTTGAGTGGTTTTGTTTCTATAAACCTCTCCCAAGGGCTGCCTATATATTTTGTATACCTTATATACCCTAGTCAATCTATTATTCCACGCAATCTCTATTGCTCTTGCACTTGCTATCCGAATCTTTCCGCTACTGCGCCACACAAACTTGCTTCCCACTCCACCCTGTGCGTCTTTCTTGGCTATTCTGCTCATCATAAGGGATACCGCTGTCTTGATCTCTCGTCCAACCGAGTCATCGTCTCTCGATATGTGGTGTTTGACGAGACTTCCTTTCCCTTCTCTAAGCAGCAATCGCTTCCAGCTAATGCGGATTTTGATTTTTTGTTGGAGCCTCTTGATGTGGTGCCAGCGCCTATTGGCTCGGTACCTCCTCTGTTGCCTACAGGTTCCTCACCAGGCGCACCTCTGGCGCCCCCAGCACAGCCACGTCGCCTCTGCACAGCCACGTGCGGCTGTGTCCCCCGGTGTTCCCGCATTGCCACGTGTGGCCGTGCCATCTCCCGGCGCACCCGGCGATCCCGCACAGCCACGTGCGGCTGCTGCGGCCTCCCCTTTGCGGCCGGTTGCTGCCTCGCCGGTGCTGTTCCAGGAGTCTGCTGGGGCTGCCCCGTCGCCCCCTCCTGTGGTTCCCGCTGCTGGCGCTGCCCCTACTTCGCCGGGCGGCCGCCCCGGCGCTGGGCAGCCGCTCCTGGTGTACTCTCGACGACCCCGTCTGCCTCTCCCGCCCCCTGCTCCGGCCGTTCTACCTCACGGTGCTGTTCCCGTGCGTGCCATCAACCAGCACTCCATGACGACACGCGGGAAGTTGGGATTTCGTTTGCCAGCGCTATTTCACTCCTCCCCACTGTCCCCAGTGCCCCGCACCTACCGGAGCGCTCTTGCTGATCCAAATTAGCGCCGGGCTATGCAGGAGGAATTCGATGCGCTCTTGGCCAACAATATGTGGGATCTCATACCATGTCCTGTTCGGGCTAATGTTGTTACTGGCAAATGGGTCTTCAAGCACAAATTCAATGCCGACGGTTCTCTGGAGCGCTACAAAGCGCGATGGGTGCTTCGAGGGTTCACTCAGCGCCTTGGAATTAATTTTTCTGAGACTTTCAGTCTTGTTGTCAAGCCAGCCACCGTCCGCACCGTGCTGTCCTTGGCCCTCTCTCGCCACTGGCCGATTCATCAGCTGGATGTGAAGAATGCCTTTCTTCATGGGACACTTACTGTGCTCAGCCTGCTGGTTTTGAGGATTCCGCCCGCCTTGACCACGTTTGTCGGCCTGAATCGCTCTCTATATGGACTTAAGCAGGCTCCTCGTGCTTGGTACAGTCGATTTGCCTCTCACATGCTGCAGCTCGGTTTTGTGGAAGCCAAGACCGACACTTCTCTGTTCGTGTATCACCGCGGCGACGACATGGTCTATCTTCTCCTTTATGTGGATGATATAGTCCTCACGGCGTCTTCGACACCTCTTCTTCGTTGCACTATTGATGCCTTACAGCGGGAATTTTCTATGAAGGACCTTGGTGAACTCCATCATTTTCTAGGTATGCATGTGCAGCGGTCTGGTGATGGTCTTTTTTTGTCCCGGCGCCAGTTTATGCTGGAGATTCTAGAGCGCGCTGGTATGACTGATTGCAAACCTTGTTCCACTCCGGTTGATACAAATCCCAAGCTGTCTGCTGCTGAAGGTGCTCCCCTTGTCAATGGGACTGATTTTCGAAGCCTCACTGGTGCTCTCCAGTATCTCACCTTCGCTCGCCTAGATATTGCCTATGTTGTTCAGCAGGTCTGTTTCCACATGCATGATCCTCGAGAGCCGCATCTTGCTGCTTTGAAGCGCATTCTGCGGTATATTCGTGGCACTTTTCACTTGGGTTTGCTTCTACGGCCCTCTACTCAGGATTTGCTGGTCTACTCCGACGCTGATTGGGCTGGCTGCCCAGACACCCGAAAGTCCACTTCCGGGTATGCGGTCTTCTTGGGCGATAACTTGGTCTCCTGGTCATCCAAGCGTCAGAATGCAGTCTCTCGCTCGAGTGCCGAGGCCAAGTATCGGGCGATTGCCAATGCCGTTGCCGAGGTCTCTTGGTTGCGCCAACTCCTTGTTGAGTTGCACGTTCCTCCGCGTCACACCGTCCTTGTTTACTGCGATAACATCAACACTGTTTACATGTCTTCGACCCCGTTCAGCATCAGCGCACCAAACACGTGGAGATTGATCTACACTTTGTTCGTGAGCACGTTGCTACCGGTGATGTCCGCGTTCTTCACGTTCCGACGAGCTCTCAGTACGCCGACATCTTCACCAAAGGCCTGCCTTCTTCGGTGTTCATGGAGTTCAGGTCTAGTCTGAACGTTCAGGCTGCCGACGATCAGACTACGGGGGCGTGTTAGATATGTATGTGCTGTGTGCGTGTGTATGGGCCTCCTGTGGCTGTGCGCCAGGCCCAGGCCGGCTTCCTACCGTGCCTAGATAGATTAGGATAGGCAGGTTATCTCTTGATTGGTTCTGTTTCTATAAACCTCTCCCAAGGGCTGCCTATATATTTTGTATACCTTGTATACCCTAATCAATCTATTATTCCACGCAATCTCTATTGCTCTCAAGCACCCTTTCTTTTCTTTTATGGGAATGCTCCACTACCATCTATTGCGAGTAACAGCATGAAATCTTTATCAATACTTAAACAGTGCATACGGATGCTTGTGTTGATTACAGGTTCTCATTGTCGTTTTGAGCAACAATTTTACGGCATACGTCATGTTTTCTATAGTTCCTCAATCTATCCACCCTGCCGCTCTATCTGATAGGTCATTGTAAGAAACTACGAATATCATAGACATACATTTTCCAAGTAGCCAAAAAGAGATTCTTGACTAATGCATTTCCCTAGTTACCAAATGTGTTCCAGTTTTCGTGAATTTATTTCTATGCTGGATGAGTATGGAATGAGTGGCTCACTGACGTCTTTTATCTAGCATTGATTCTGCTAATAGCTTTATCATATCCCCCTATTCTGAGGAATAACTTACTGAAGTTCATTGTTACTTGATCTTTTTTGTGACATTCAACAGAACATGATGAAAGAAAATGGAGAACTCACCATTTTACCACATGACCGCTACATACTAGCATTGATACCAAACATAGAGCAAAGATACAAAAATGAAAGCCTCAGGATAGGACGAAGGAAGTAAATCTCATATTATCTCATTGATACCAAACATAGAGCAAAGATACGAAAATGAAAGCCTCAGGATAGGACGAAGGAAGTAAATCTCATATTATCTCATCTAACACTTGGAATCCTGGATACTTCAAGAGTCAGGACTCATGACACCACTCTCTGTGGTCTCTACAGGGAGCTTCTCTAGCTGCTGCTGCAATTTGGTTTGTTCATCTCTCAGCTGGGAGTTTTCGTGGAGGACACGATCACAGTCTCTGATGACATGGTTTAACTGATCAAGGAGTTGACGGTTGGTGCTGCGGAGGTGAACAACCTGCGCCCAGAGCTCGCTCAGCTGCTTCTGCTTTCTCATGCGTGATCGTCGGGCAGACTCCCTATTGGATATCATCCTTCTCTTCCTGCGCTCTTCTGCTAGACTGCGTTGATAGTCATCTGACTCCTCGGAATTGGATTTATTACCAACTGGGAAGCTAGCTTCAAGAACCAAGTGAGCAACATCTTGGTAGGATGAAGGGTGAGGCACCAGAAGGTTGCTATACTGGTAGAGGAAGTCGTCGGTAGCTACATGGTAATGAGGTTTGAAACAGGCTGCACTTGCAGGAGATAAGTATGGAACACTAGCAATCTCAGCAGGGTACATGTTCACTCGAGCTATGAAATGGAGGGAAGGGTGGCTTGTGAAAGAAGAGGAGAGGGTACCGGGGTGGATTTATAGTGTGCAAGAATCATGGAAATGAATAGGACCCACAGCTGCAACGTTGAACTTGCCTTTTTGTGCTGCTTTGATTTACAGAAGTCAGGGACAGCAGTAGTACTAGTAGCACATTATACATGAGACTGAAGTTACCAAATGTCTTGACGGAAATTATGATTTTTATTATTATTGTGCCAGCTTTTCTAAATGTACTGGGCCGGGCCAGCATGCTTCCAAAAGTGTCTCCATCAAGACCGTCCATTTGCGATCAAACAAAGGCCGTGAGGATGCAAGGCCCTGAATAACATCACTAGCACCAGGTGCTCTAGCCATTTAAAGGGATGGTGGTTGGATAACAGTGACAGGCATTTGTGGAGAATTGTGGAATGGAAATGGACCCTAAGGTTAAAAACTTAAAATACGTATGCCTGAGAGGTGAGAGCAATGCATCATGGATCAGCTGCTATACTGAGTCTGTTATGTGATCGAGTTATAATTTTCCAGAGGGCTGTATGATCTACTTGTAGCCTGGGATGCCAGTAATATTTTTTTCTCAATTAGAACAGTGTGGTCAAGTGATAATCACAGCGGGAATTCTAAGGAATGTTGTTTTATTCTGCAGCAGCTGCTAACAGTTTCTGCTAGAGCTCTCATTCGATGGGAGAATATTTCAGAAAGGAAGGTACCAAAGGTTGGTGTCTTCTGTCCACTGCTGTGGCCCCCAGTGGAAATTTGCTTGGATAAAAAGAACGTGCACTTCTGAAGTTGGCAACTTGGCATTATTTTTTTCATCAACTAAAGGAAAAAACATATCCACTGTCTATTATGCTTTGACACATAAACATTGTGCAGTTCCAGTTGCTTCCTACCTTTCATTCTTTAACTGAGTTTTATAAACTAACAGTTCTGGTGGCCTACGATGTGATGTTTTCATTCCTAGGATGGTTTTGTTCCAGTTGGCAACATGGTTTTGTCAGGCCTTAAGGAGCCCAGTTTTTAAAGTAAAATCTGAACTACGCTGATCCATGGTGTCTGTTTTATTGGAGTGTCAATGCATAAGCCTCACAAAAAGAAATACTAATCATGGCTTCACTCTAATAGGGAGTTTGATGCTGAGGTCAGTATTAAATCTAGTGGCCTAGGAACAGTCTATAATAACTCTTTTGTTTTGAGTTATTTTGCATGTGCTGATTCCTTGCTACAATACCATGTTAACATCTAAACTTTGAATTGCTCGGTAGCATAGTTAAGGTGTCTCAGTATGCCGATGCTCAAGTGCAACCTCCTTGAGTTCAGACTATCCAGATATGAAGATGCATTATGTCAGGGCAAATAAGAGATGCATCAGTCAGTAGGTCATAGCCAAGCTATTCGTCTTTGTGATCTGAATATTCAGCATGTCGTTGACAGAAATGCTGTGGTTAGCTATCGGCTGAAAAAATTTTTTGGTGTTGCTTCTGCAGGATAAAGAAGAATCATAATGATTATCTGTCAACTGGATCGAAGGAGGATAGCTAGGCTTAAGCTGGAGAAAGAATTAGAGGCTTCGGGGTTTACGGGGGAGAGGATTCGATTCCAGGCTCGAGTCAAATCACTTGGCACCTAGGCACCTCGTTCTCGACTCTTTTAATGGCCTAAGAGCTATATATGAGGCCATCATCTTTGGAGGACATGGAAATCTTATCTGGTTCTCTTTGGATCTTGAATCACAAGAATGAAGGGGAAAAAACTCACAAAAGATGGTTCACGATCAGAGGTAAAGAAGATGGCTGTTTGTTTTTTCTTGGTTTCCTTTGCTTCTAGGATTGGTTCACCTTTCGTGTGGTAACACACTCGTCAAAGATCGGGGCTCCGACCTGATAAATTGAAGACCACTTCCTATCAGGCCGTCATCAAGCATGAGGTAAGTAAGTACAAGGTAACAAGCTTTTGCTATCTTCTCTTCCATATGGATGTGCCCTTTTGTCTGAATATGTCCATTCATCCAGTGCAACAGTGTAAAACGTCACTATCCGGAAGACCAATTGGATGAGCTGGTTAATGGTCGACCGAGCAGGTCGAGGTCGACAATTTTGACTGAACTGGACATGGTTAACTGATCTACTTGGAGGAGGACTCTGGCTGCCTGTCTGTGATCTGAGTGGCTACCTCGATCAATAATGCTACTGAGAGCCCCCACACTGAAATCAGAGGCCCGTTGGCCTACACAAAGATTGGTTTCTTTCTTTTCGTATACGGCGGGGAGATTCGTGCCCGGCAACTCCCATCAACCGCACCAATCATGCCCGTAAATCCACCGACCCGGACACAGAATCTTTCAGCCGTTGGATCGCTCCATCACGGGTCGTATCACCGTCGAAAGCTCTCATTGCCCTGGGAAAACATGAGGGGCTGCGTGTGTCTCTCTCTTTGGGAGACGCTGGACCCGTGGTTACCTAATTTGGGGTGTTATGTGGGGAGTTGTAGACGCCTAGACGGTACGGGCCTACGGAAAACGATGCAGAATCCTTTTGGCGGTAGTGCTAGAGCCCCGCTGATGTCTGCACACTTACACGCAGATTGCTGTTCTCTCAAAAAGCCGCCTGGGTTGGGCAGCGCAGCACGGTCAAGTACTCTGCTTACAAGTCAGCATTTTAATGATGCGCATGCAAGAATAGGGCACGTACCTTTATTTTCTGTTATAAAAAAAATAACCCTAGTGGCTAGTGCGAGTGCAAGAACATGGCAACGACTGGAAGTGGAAGGTACTAGATCACCTTAGTAGCACTATAATAAAGTATAGAAAGAAATTAATTGAAATATGGGTGAATGGTGGAAATGATAAGTCAATACCTTCTTTTTAGATCATGCTATCACAAACTATCTGCAGAGAAACATGTATCATCTCCACATTTGAGAAAACTTGCAGGCTCATATATTTGGAGCTTCCCAAACTCCAGGGTTCTTTTCCATTCTAGACTAGAGTTATTGGGTTCACCGGAAGAGAAGTCAGATATCCGTGTCTTTGTGTAAGGCTGCCCAAGCCCACAACGCCTCTCTAGTGAAGTAGCGATTCCCTATGTTCATTTCTAGAGTTCTAGACCATTGAATGGGTTTTGACACACTTTGTTGCATCGTAGTGTACGTGACCATAAGAGCACTCACCTAATTGTTCACCGACACGTGCATACCCCTATTGTTTATAGCCATAGAGGCTAGCTAGCTTCCAGTCACTGCATATCTCACGGGCGGAGCCGTAGGATGCTTAAGTTGCACAGACAGCAAATCGCCAAATCGCTGCGACGAGACGCAATAAAGCAGAGACGACGTTGAGACATGCCACCCTCTGAACCAAAATCCAAAGAGACGTACGTCAGCGTCCAAATCCCACCCACCATGCATTGCATACTACTACTACTACAACTTGTAGACGCAAAGGTAGCTAGCCTGGCCACTTAGCCAGCCCAGCCCTGGCCCCTGTGTTGTCCGTGTGCTTGCTTTCGCCGCGCCAAGGCTCGGAGGCAATCCATGGCGCGATGATTGCTGCGGCCACTCGCCTTGCCGCCCCGGGCGAACCACGGACTCCACGAGAGGGTCAATTTCAAACCCCATCGGGCAGTGCTGCCGGCTGCCGCGGGAGGCGGACGCCGGACGCCGGACGCCGGACGGGTCAACACCCCACCCATAGAGCACTCGAGGCCGCGCGGACGGAAGCGGGGAAGGGATGGCCCGGATGGAAGCCGAAGACGGGGGCCGCCGCGCGGGTGCACGAGCGCACGACCGGATGGAGGCCGGCGACCCTGCCTGCGGCCTTGCCTGCCACAGAGGAGCAAGCCCGTGTGGCGGGGCCCCGCGGCGCGTGTCGCCCTCGCGCTGGTGCGCCCCCATTTCTTGTCGCGCCCTTGTCGCGCGTGCTCTCCCTGTTCATGTTCGTCCCCACTGTGCTCTGCCTGCAACTGTGCGTGTTTGTCGGGCGTGTATACTGCGTTTGTGGTTTCTTTGTTACAGACTGTGTGATATTACGTTCTAATATTCTTATCGTCACTGAACGCGTATTATTCCAACTCTTACGAGCACTTGTCGTATGTTCGACAACAAACAAATTATAAGAGATTATAATTTATAATTCGTCACATAATATTACTCTTTATAAAACCAGCTAAAACAAACTCTCATATTCAGAGGAGTGAAGGAACAGACCAATGGAGAGAAAGTGTGACGAATATCTAGATGAAGAATTTTTCTTCCTTTAACTTTAATACTAAGGCCATGTTCGCTTCTCTTATAATCCGTCTTTTTCAGCTTGTTTTTTCAGCCGGAACAGTGTTTTTCTCTCACAATAAATCTGCTGGAACAGTGTTTTTGCTTGTTTTATCAACGAAGCGAACGGGCCTAAACTAGTAAGCATGTTTGCATGTTGCAACGGAACACATAACATGTGTCAACTGTTTATTTAGGTCATGAGTTCAGGTTTTAGACGAGAAAGTACACCTATTAGAACTCTTATCTTTAATTTACCACGTATTATATTATTCTTATTAAAACCGGTCAAGACTCTGATGGACAAATGGACCGGGGAGAGAGAGAGAGAGAGAGAGTGACGAAAATTTGATGGAGAGAAATTTTCATTCTTTAATATTAATATAAATAGACTTTGATATAGACCAGCAAACTCGTTTGTGTATTGCAACGGAATGTGCTGACTTATTACGCTATCACTTGAGGCATTCATGGCTTAGAAATTTATTCAATGATCATCATTGATTCCAATACGTTTCGAAATCGAACTCCGTATCGCCGTAGACACTTGTTGTTCTATCTCGTATGAGTACAAATTGTATATCCGGATTACTTGTGGAACATGGAAGAGCGTAAAGGTATACGAGATAAATACCATTTTTAGTTTAATATAATACTATGATATTTATGGTTGGGCGTCTGTTTGGCGAAACGAGATGGTCACCACCCTACTATGGAACAAACTAACAAATAGACTTAGGGCATGTTTGTTTGAGCTACAATTTTTAAGCTTTTAGCTTAAAAGATGGCTTTATGGCCTTTTTGCTAAGCTATGTTCTCAGTATAACAGATGGCTTTATGGCCTTTTTGCTAAGCTATGTTCTCGGTATAACAAAAACCAGAAAAGCTCATCTCAACATTCCTTTTAGATTTTAGTTCATTAGTTCGGAAGTCAGCCTTTTCAACATTTCAAAACAGAAATGCTATACAACACACATGTGTTTTAGATGAAAAAAACATATGAATTATTTCTCTCTTTTTTTTCACCTCGCGCGTGTCGATCGCTCGGTTGTTCGTGTTCGTGTGTGGACGAGTGTGTTAGCAGCGGATCCAAAACACATGTACGTGTTCGTGTGTGGGCTCCAGGCTGTTCGCTCGGATCGATCGCTCGGCTGTTCGTGTGTGGAGACGGCTGACGCCTCGTGTGTCCGGCTCCAGGCTTTGCTCTATGATTTGTGATTTGTCCTTCCATAGAAAAAAAATTGTTTCTTGTGATCTGTGAATGTGAATTTGTGATCTTGTGATTTGTGATTGTCTGGAGTTAGAAGAAAGCTGGAGGTAGAAGGAGGATGGAGACTGTTGGATCTTAATTCTATGGTGTAAAAAAATTCATGTGTTAAAACTGCATAAAACACATGGTTGTTGGGTTGACAGACTTTTCAAAGGCAACTTAACAGCTCGACTATTTGTCTTAGCTTATGGCAGGTAGAATCCAGGGCAAAGTTGCCCCTAGAGTATGGTGACTGTTCAGTGGCCGAAAAATCGAATACAAATAATACACCAGTACATAGCAATCACCAAACATCGGAGTGGCGCAGCGGAAGCGCGATAGGTTTTTTCTCTCCTTTTTTTCTTTTTTCCCCTGTGCACGAAAGCTTTTGTCCTTTTTTTTCATTTTTTCCCCTGTGAGTCCTTTTTTTTTCATTTTTTCCCCTGTGAACGAAAGCTGATCTCCGGATCCAATCCTTTTCATTTTTTTTTTTAATTTTGTCTTGAGAACGAAAGCTGATCTCCGGCTCTCCGCTCCGGTTTGCATGGATTGGCTATTGTGACGAAGCACCTCACTCCGGCGCCGGCGAGAAAGAAAGATCGATTTAATTTACGCCTGCTCGCATCGATCATTCACCCCTTAATCGCCCAACCCTTTTCGTACGTGCCATGAACGAAACAAGCGCAGCAGCTTGGTTCAATGCAAAGCAGCGTCGCTTTGCTTCGGTAAGCTACTGGGTCGAGCGAGCAGCAAAACCACTATCATTAGTTAATCATCCGCTAATGCTGGCCGACTCGAAAGTCGAAAGGCGACGCGGACAGCCGCGCACGCACGCACGCATCCATGATCCATCCATCGTCGAGTACTCGAGCCCAGCCGCTGACGTCTGCCGCCCCCAAACCCAAAAGGGGCCAAACCGACTCGACGCGGATAGCCAGCCTGTTGGCGGTTGCGGTTTTGCGGATAAGAAAGCCGTGGGTCCCCCGCCCCCCCACCCCTGGATCCCCCTGTCGTCTCGGTTTTTACTGCCAACGGCAGCTGGCAGGGAGTGGGCGCCCGTCGCGCTCGCGGTGCGTCGATCTCGGGCAATGACGGCTCGCGATCGTGTTGCTCGCCGCTTCCCGGTGTCGCGCGGCGCGCGCCTCCCGTGCCCGCCGGCGCGGTGTCGGGCCCCCCGCGTCGCTTTCCTTGATCGATCGCCCATTGGGATTTGTCGGGGCTCGTTGGCTGATCGGTTCTTGGTTTATTTTTCTGTTTGCGCTCTCGTTGTCGTCGTTGCTTTAATTTGGACGTCCAGTGCAGCGTCGGCCCCGCGCGCGACCGACGCGAGTGGGCGATGCTGGCGGGATTTTCCACCGCGCGCGAGCGCCAGCGCGACTGCAAAGGTCGCACGGCACCGTGCAGCCGCAACTCTCCCATCGTGGGATCCCCTCGATCGTCGTTGCGCCCTGGTGAATGTCCCTATCCGTTCGGGTTCGGCCGCGCCACGCGCGGGCATGGCTCGTCGATGCGGTCACGGTCGCGCGTGGTACCTTTTTTCCGCGAACCTAACTCATCTGGACTCACCTGTCAGTAAGCAAGCCCATACGCCCTGTTCACTTGCTTTAAGCTGTACTTTTTCGGCCAATATTTTTCTCTCACAACAAATCAGTCAACAGTACTTTAGGACAATAGATGCCGAAAGCGCAGAGCCGCAGAGTAAGTAGTCAAGCTGTGTTCACGCGTGCTCGTCAGTGAAACTCCTGCAGTATACCGTGTATATGAGAGTAAATTGCACTCGTTGTACAGCATAGTCAGTGAAGGTAGATTGATCCAACTAGTAAGTAATTTATATAGTGCAACAATTTAGGAGATTGGTGTATATACGATCCAAACGTTACTAGGTCATGTGGAGAAGAACCAGGGGCTATGTGCAAATTTGCAGTGTATGTGCCACGAACATTGACACATTAACCCTCACACGGTCACACCTAGTATGTGAGTACCTATTTTTGACACCCTGGCAATGTAAGTAAGACCTTAGATGCACCAATGTAAGAGTGTTGTACTATTTGAGTATTTTGTAAGTTGTTGAAGCAATATGCATCCATCTACTAAGGACATGTTTGCATCCTCCGGATTGTAAGAATCCGGATAGAAAAAAAATCCCACAATCTAGATTCTCATCGAGCTAGGTTTTATAGGGATTATTTTTTAATGAAGTTTTATAGGGATTTTAACTTAGGGATTTTTAGAATCTCGAAATTCAATAAAACTGTTGGGATCATTTTTATTCGGATTCTCAAAATTCTTTGGGATCCAAACGGCGCCTAAGTTATTCTGCGGTAGATGTAATTTACTCTATATATAAACAAAACAAAAAGTTAACAAAAAAAAACTTCCGTTGTCCCAAAAAACGGTGGGCATGCATGGAGAAAACTAACGGCGTCGGCATTCCTCATCTCACCGAGGATTGACTCATGCGAATTTTGCGGTGGATATGGTAACACTTGTGCCCATCTTGAGCGCATTGCGAATAGATAATACTAAACTCAAATGAACTTTCACAAGTGCATTCTGATTGCTCGTGTCGTCGTTCCTTTTCAGTGCTGGTGGTCCTAAATTTCGTTGAATATATTACATACTAGCAAACATGCCCGTGCGTTACAATGGGAGAAAAAAATACTTTGAAACGCTAATGAAAAATGAATATTACATATATATTTGGTTTTCCCTTTCTATAAAATTTGCATCTATAATTTTTTTATGATGACTATGACATCTATATCAATTAAAATACAACCTTGATATTTTTTCTCCCATTGTAAGCTCCAAAAAGTTTGTACTCATAAATTTATCGTAGCTTCATTTTTCATAATGTCCATGTGTTGGTGAGTTAGATATTGAGTTCTGTGATTCCTTTTGAGGACTCGTAAAAATAAAAGTCAACAAAGAGTTAGTTATCACCATGAGGATTGGCCTATTCTATAATGAGACCTCTTGTGATTTTTACATGTCAGCTCTCATTGTTTTATCGAAAATTGTACTGATATATACGTATAGTTTGGAGATACATTTCTTTTAATTAGGTTGGAGGACAAACTGCTCAAGATTTGAGCAACCGGTTTAATTAGTTGAACCATCAGCTGATCTAGGTTCTAATAATAATAAATTTTATTTCGGTAATCAAAATTACATCAATAATTTAGTGGTGAAATATTTATGTATCATGGAAAGATTGTTATAACATTTTAAATACCCATAATGATGTATTTATTATTTATTTTTTAAAATTTATAAGAAAAATGGGATACAGAAAAGAAGAAAACAAAAAAATCAACTTTAGACGGAAAAAACATATACGCCAGAAAAGAAACATGGAAAAGGACGGGAAACGTTGGACGGGAGAACGGGCGTTTATTAATTTGCACCAACACTGAACGGATGGTTAACGAACATGGAAAAGAAGAGGGTTTCCTCGTGGGGCCGCCACACACCAGATTGGCCACACACCAGATTCACATCTTTGTGCTTATCTATTCCAGTTTTCCCTTGCGTTGATTCAGGACATGGTGTCAACGGGGTACGTTGGGACTCAGGACTACACGATTTGTAAACGGGATGGGTTAGGACTCGGATAAAACAAACTGACCGAGCGGGCTGACTGGATGGGGACATAGCAAAAGCTGCAAAACGAAGAAACTCTTTAGCGACCGTGCGGACAAAATATTTTAGGCATGAGTCTGGACAGGATCCAATATAAATTGCAATCGGACTCTGCATGGATCCTTGCTAGCCGAGATATATTCAAACTCCGTATGAGCGCGTGTCATATAAGTCGGGACATAAGATGAGAGGTAAGAAACTCTAGAGATAGATGGACAAAAAAAAAATGGATGGACCAAAAAGTAGGTGGAGAAAATTTTTGTCCCTTTATTATTAGGTATAGATATAGATAGATAATTCTTGTGGATTGATCGACGATGATTATCCTCTTGTCGTACGTGCGTGCTCAGTTTTGTCTAGATTTCTGTCCTTCATGTGCAAATTGTGGGCACAAAGTTGGAAGTGTTGTTAATCTCCCATCCTCCTTCTTTTCCTTTTTACAGAAAAAAGAAAGGAAGAGCACTATGCATGTCTATGGATTGTTAAATGTTTTTGTCGAGCTACAAAGTTGGCCAGATCCTTTCAGAATGACTTTATAGTGTTATTGTATCATGTGGACAGGAAGTTCCTTCTTCTATCACAACCTTTTCAGAGACTCGCACGGCACGAACTCCACTTGTTAATATATCCGGGAGTTGAATAGGATTGCAAAGTTATTATCAAATTGTGTTTTGTTGCTCCTAGATTTTTTTTTTTAGGATCTCCTAGAAGAAGCAAATGATGAAGCCGAATACCACTATGAGATTGCACCAGCACCTTTACAAATTTGAGCCCAGTAGCATCCTAGCATGTACAAGTTGGGTTTGGGCTTGTAAACCCACCTTGAATATTGGACACATTTCCATTGGGCCTGCTGGATTCATCTTCTTTCTACCACTTCTGCATTTGAACCCCTTTCCTTCCGAGGATACGAGTTTTGGTTGTTTTGAGTTGGATTCTCAAAAAAACTTGCACCATTCTTCAGCAATTGGTTTCTCCATTCTAGGTAGCCTAGCCTTCCAAATTCTGGCTTCCGCTATGCAAGATAGGATAATCTGTCGTACAGAGATTGTCTCGTTGCGGAAGACGGTTCCATTCCTTCGTTTTCAGATTTGCCAGCAGCACAGTGCAAGGAGCATGTTGTGTTGTTTAGCCGGCACACTGTTTATCTTCAGAAGAACGGGTATATCGCGAGTTGCAGCTCCAGTCTGCGGCAGTGGCACCCCTAAGACCGCCCAGAACTCAATTGCCTTCGAGCAGTGGAAGATTATGTGTTGTGGAGTTTCTTCTGCCGCCCCACAAGAGAGGCATGCTGGTTTGTCAACCACATGCTTCTTGTACAGATTTGCTCTGCACTGAATTCTCCCTTTGATTAGGAGCCACGTAAACAATTGCACCCGAGGTGGAGCAGCATTCTTCCAGATGAACCCGAGGCTTGGTCTTTGGCCTTCAGCAGTTTGTGGATAGCAGACGAGTCCAGTCTGCCCGGACCACAATTGCCTTTGATCGTCATCATTGTCTGACAGGATCGTCTGTTCAATGACCAGTGGTTCAGTTCCAACTGAGCTTGTGTTGATAGTCATTAAAAAATAAGAAGAAAGAAAGAGCGTCACATACACGTCCTTTTAAATTTAATACCAAGACTGGCCTCTGGGACCGCGCCAACTGAAACACACGCAAAGGGCCGGCCCAGAGAAAGCATCTGATGGAAACAAGAGCCGAAGAGCGAGGTGACATGCGAACAGAACCCAACCCCAACCCCGACGGCAGCGCGACGACGACTCTCGACGCGACGTGCCTACCCGCAGCCCACCCTGGGCGATCCCGCAAGCGTACACGGTGACGAGCACGATTTCCTAACGAACGAATCGTCTGCTGGTACGTACCCAACCCACAGAATCGGTGGTTATCAGAAACCCAAAGAATCGGCGAATCGATCGGGAACAGCAAAGAAAGCTCACCGCAGATGCATATCATCGTCACCATCAGTCTTATCTTCGTTTCGTTGCTGGCATCTGTGCCCAACGTCAACATCAATGATCTGTTCCGTAAGCTTTCGTCGCACAGTCCCAGGCTGATAAATAAACCAAAAAAAAAGGGGATAAGCAAACTGTGAAGAGAGATCGATGGGCCCGCGGAATCGGTTCCATTCTTCGTATTGTACCTTGCTCTCGTTTTCGGGGTACGGCTTTCCGGGCATGTGCTGAAGGCCTCTGCTTTCAAGCTACGGAAACTGACGAGGATTCTGCTGCCTTCCGCTGGTTGCGTCCACAAGCCACGTATATAAACTTTTATCACGTACTACTAGCTGCGAGGTTGTGATCCCAAGATATCCGTCATACCGTGAAGAACCGGATCGTATAGCAGTAGAGTTGCCAGCGTAACATCTTGATCGCGACGGGTGCGGAAACGGCAGCTGGCTGGGGACAGAGAATGGAAGATAATAAAAGAGAAAAACACGAATTCCTAAGGGCTCGTTCGGTTACGGTAAACGATCCCAGGATTGATTCGGGCTGATGAAAGCTTGTCTAAATTAAGTAACAATTACGGTCGGGATTTCTTCCGGGGGTCGTTCCGGGGAAAATGAACGGGGCCTAATTCTTAGGAGTGGATTCCTCGTAGATTCGAATCTACAATAGGAAGGAACTGGGTTCCCATAGGGGCTCGTCTATTGCATTTGCATAGTGTTTGATGGTTTGACTTGCTGCTCTAAAATACTTTGCATTTCACTGAAATGGACAGTTGGAACTATGAACTGGCAGGCTGTCCACCCGCATTTGAATCCTAGTCTGGGCGAACGGCCGGTGTCGATAGAGACCAAGCGTTCTGAGACTGCTCAGGCAGCCAATCAATGCTTAAGTCTGAGATAAAAGAAGAGCCTGCGACTGCATTCTTTTTCTGTCACCCTTCCTCCTCAGTTAAAAAGTATGTACTACGGATCTATCCATTAATAAGTAATTGTAAGCGTGTGTCAACGTTAGTGCGGTTAAATTTGATTCAAATCACAAGTTCAAGCAATTTTATTACTGGTTAAGCAAAAGGAACAATGCATGCACGGACATCTTCAGAATGTAACGTTTGTTCCCTTTTTTCTTTTGAACAGTTTTAAATGTGAAGGTCGTTGCTACTTCAAAATCATAAGTAAACTCATCATAATTCCAAGGCCAGCACAGCGGAAATATGAAGCGATCTCATTCAATGAAGCTATGCTAGGTACTACTGACCATTCCTTGTGCGCATTATTGACTAGCAGACGAGTTAGCATGCTGCGCCCCGTTTGACTTGCTAATCTAGGCTGAAAAATACTCTTCTGACTGAATTGTTGCGAGAGAAAAATACTGTTCCGGTTAAAAAAACAAGTCGCCCCCCCCCCCACCCCCCATGCTGATTTGTCATACAATCGTTTTATTAACGAATTAGAATACTAGTAAAAGTAATATTTGTATTGCCTACACATTGTAAAGAGAAGCCTGAGTGCGATTGTGCAAACATTGTTCTGTCATCCCTATGTTTAGGGGTGTTTCGTCAACAGAAATGATTCATGATTTTTTTTCGCCTCTGTTTCACTGTTCGTTCCGCTGTAAAAAACAGCAACCGATAACCTCAAATCTCACATCCAAATACACCATTGTCAAATTTAAACGCACAGTGTTATGTCATCACTCTCTCTATGAAAATCACCACCACCACAACCAATCCACATTGATTTGATCCCTCTCCAACCTGATCAAAAAGGAATTTGCAGCAAGTCGCAGAACCAAATATTAACACCGCACCGCCTCAAATTGCAGAATCAAATTAGTCCGTTGCTCCTTCGCCTACCCATTCGTCAAGGTATCCTGATGAAGACATCATACCTGCCGCCGTGCCACGCCGGTCTGCATCGCCACCGTCGCCGGCGGCCCGCCTCGCCTTCCACTTCTCGTACTCGGGGTCATCGGTGGGCAGCTCGTGGCGGCAGAGCGGGCACGTGTTGCGGATGGCGAGCCACGGCAGGATGCAGCCGTCGTGGTAGAGGTGCGCGCACGGCAGCCTCCGGGCGCGCTCCCCGGCCTCGACGCCGTCCTTGCACACCGCGCACTGCGCGTCGCCGCGTGCCGCGTCGGCCTCCGCGACCACCACCGTAGGGAGCGCCTCCACCGCGGCCTTCGCGGCCGGCCGCCCGCACTTGCCCGGCGGCTCGTGGTCCGCATCCGCGGCGGCGAGATGCCCGAATAGCAGGTCGTCGGCGTCGTCGAGGAAGTACGTCTCGATCCCCGCGTCCAGGTCGTCGTCGCCGTCGCCGTCGTCCACCGCGAGGCTCCCCAGGCTGTTGGCGGCGAGCAGCACCTCCCACTCCAGGATCCGTACCGCGGACGCCGCAGCCGCCTCCTCCTCCTCCTCCCTGCCGGCGACCTGCTCCCACTCGTCCGCGTCGCTCACGCCCACGTCCCACCTCCGGTGGTCGTCGTCGTGGTCCTCCAGCTGCAGGCAGTCCCAGCAGAGCGGCAGCGCGAGCTCCCCGTCCTCGTCGGGTGGCGCCCACTCGTCGTCGTCCCCGTCGTGGAAGCCGAGCCCGAAGAAGGACGACGCGGCGGTCTCCCGGGGCCGGTCCATGCGCGGACGCACGAAGCTGGCGGCGTCGGAGTCGGAGTCCGACGAGAGACCGGGGAAGGGCGGCCAGAATGAGGGGAAGGAGACGTTGCCCGGCTCCTCCTCCTCCTCATCAACGTCGGACCAGCAGCCGCCGGCGAGAGGGAGCAGCAGGTGGTGGGCGAGGGAATCGTTGGCCATCGGTAAAGCGAAGAGGAAGAGAGACCGCTCGCCTCGCTGCGCTCCTCTCTTTTTCTCCCCATCCCCTCACTTTTCGTGCGCTTTAAAATTGGGTTGGGTCAAGTTGGGTTGGTGTACCCGACGCCCGGCGCCGCCGCGAGGGCCAAACGTGAACGGAAACGAGACGGGCGTGGGCGCGTGGCCTGGCCTTGCGCACCTTCTTCCTTCGGTACGGGTGAGCACGAGAGGATGGGTTTGGTTAGCGGGCCGAGGTGGGCCGAAAGAGAACGTTTTATTCCTTCGCGTTTCGGTACCTACAACTATCACGAGATTCAAGTATTCGCAAAAACCTATCACGAGAGTCCTATTTACTTGCTCAACTGGAAAATTAGATTTTTAGGCTCTTTTAACTTTTGATTAAAACCATCAAATTTAAATCCTTAGGTGGTTTTGGCTGACGTGACGCTATATCAACCATTCTACGTGACGCTATGTTGAAAAGATCTAGAATGGCTAAAGGAGATGAATATCCTATTAAAATACCATCAAAGACACAACACTACGCACAAATAATTAGTATAAGAGATAATCCTAATAGTCACTACAAACCGGGGCCTGTTTGGCTGGTATTAAAGCCAGCTGAAGCTGTTTTGTTGTGAGAGAAAAATACTGTAGATTCTAGTTGATAAGCCGACTGATAAGTTCAAGCGAACAGGCCCTAGAGCCTAGTACACCATAAAGCAAACATTTAAATAAGTCGGTAGAAAGGATTACATCTGCTACTGAGAGCACACAAGCTACTCGAGGCAATATATTAAACTAATCAAGCTACACAAGATAAGCAACTACTCGAATTACTCTAGTCGACTAAAGAAGCTGCTCTAGCAACTACACAAGCACATGATAAAGCAAGTAAATAGCACAAGTGTGGGAATGCAAACAATCGAGAGCAAGTGACACAAGGTTTACCCCAAGATTCGGTTGCTTGCTTGCAACATACGTCCCCGTTGAGCTAGGCGAGTCCTTGGATTCCCACACCTTCGCAAGCAACCCAAGTCATCAAGCTTGACCCTCAACATGGGTGCTCGCCTATGAGATGGTGAATCAACAACAACAACAACAACAAGTACTCCAACTAGCCTCGAGAAATCCACTAGAGTTGCTCTTCATGATCCCCATGAGGATGACCACAAAGCCTCTTACAAATCAATTGACTAGAGCCCCCGCACAATCACCCAGCGGTGCTCAACGACCCTCCACTGCTTTAAACCGTCTAGGTGGCGGCAATCACAAAAAATAACAAGAAATCTGCAACAATACGACAAAGCTAGTGCCACTAGATGTAAACTCTCTAAGCAAATGCACTAGATCTCTCTCCAATCTCACTCTAGAGCTCAAAGGATGCCCTAGTATAACCAAGGTGCCAAAAGAGCTAAAATGGCCCCCACCAAAAAGTAGTCGTTATGCATTTGGTTAGGCTTTTATGCAGGGTCATGGAAAAGTCTGGTGACCATTGAAGGATAGGGTCTCTCGTTCAACAACTAGATTTTAATGGCTGATCAACTACCTATTGGATCAACACATTCTTCGGTGGTCTCCCACAGCGGGCACCGGAGAAACCCGATGATTGCCTTGAGCTCTCTGGAAAAATTGCAAAGTGAAAACCAGAAAGAGTTTGGGCCTTATTTTCAAACCCCTAAAAATTCTGGCTCGAGCCCACCCGACTAGTGCATTAGGTGGGTTTGGGCTTTATTTTGGACCCGTAACAATTGCTAGGTCAGGCGAGGACCTCAAATTTTGATTTAAAATGTGAAAAACTTCGATCCAACATGGTAGGCGTGGGCAAAAATTTGACTCAACATTAGATTAAAATTGAATTCAAGCGTAAACAGATGGCATTTTTCTGATACACTGACACTTGTGTATCCAGATCTAAGGCCCTTGAAATGTAAACTTTGCTTTCTACATTTTTTTCTTGTAATAAAATAAACTGAATTACATGAGATTTTTATATAACTAGCAAACATGCCCGTGCGTTGCAACGGGAGAAAAATTATCTAATATTTTTTTGAGAAACAACAACAAGAATAATACATATATATTTATTTATATTTTACCATATCTGTAAAATTTAAAATCTATAGTTTATTTTGTAATAATCACGACATCCATAGCATAAATTAATGTTGTTAATAATATGACAATATCCTATTAAGTTTGTAGCAAGTTAAAATACAACATTGGTGCATTTTTTTCTCCCATTGAAAAACACATAAATATTTAGATGTAAATATATCACAAATTTAATTTTTATACTATTCATGTGTTGGTACAGTTAAATATCAAGTTCCATGACTTTCTTTCAGGATCCAAAAATATATGTAGTTCTAGTATCTAATTAAAGTTGGCAATGAGTTAGTTGCTGACATATCAAGGATTTATCTATCCGCTGATGATTATGACGAAGAACCTCTCTCGTTGTTTCATGTGTGATGTGTCAGCCCTTATTGGGGATTGTAGATATATATTCATTTACATTGGAATAGACAACAAATTGGACAAGATTTCAATTTTAATATACAATTTTAGTTAGTTGGACTATAGGCTGATCTAAGTTTCAATGAAAATATTTTTAATCAAAACTACATAAATATTTTATTTCTTAGGAAAGTCAACGGTTCAAGTGACTTCATCAATCTCGAGCGTTTGTCGGTTTAGTCTTCGAAGATGCTTATAAGGGTAGGGTTTTCGTGTGTGCGTTCATAGGGGTAAATGTGCGTGCGTTGTGATTGTCTGTGTTGTACTGTGTAATCACAAAAAAATGGTTCAAAAATATTATATTTACTATTTGTTTTGTTTATATGAGAAAAAATCACGGGAGCAAAAAAAAATCATAGGAGCAAAGAACGTGCATAATAAAAAGCCTGATAGAAACTGATCTGATCCAGGTAATCAAAATAAAATTAGAATCGACACGGAAATTGAAGCAAGCATAAAAAGGATAAGGTGGAAACTACCTGGACAAAGAAACCAAGACCTGGATGTAAACTGGAGTGTGCATAAATTAGACAGATACGACATGGACACGGAAATCACAATAGAACGATTTAAGCGTGAATCCGGAGAAGATTAGGTGATGGACGGAAAAAATTGTGGCAAGAAATTTTGCCTCTTTAGTATTAGGTATAGATATAGATATAGATATAGATATAGATATAGATTTTCGTGAAAATTCACGCGTTCCTATCTTTCGTTCGGCTCGGCAGTGGGCCTGTTCGCTTGGAGGAATTCTGGAGAAATTTGGTTGGTTTGGAGGAATGCTGGAGGAATTTGTGAGAAAAAAAACACGGTTCCGAATGAAAAAAAAGTGGATCAAACCGGATTTAAGGACACGCGAACGGGGCCAGTGTCTCTCCCTTCCCCGTCCCGTGCCCTCTCGTGTGGAATTAGATCATCTAACATACAAGCTTCTATGTCAGATGGGTGTAGAAACAGCAGCGCCGTTCCCTGGCCATCGAACAGCCGCTTGCGGGAGATGAACGTCCACTGAGCCACGGCCCAATTGCAGAAGGCCCACTTGTTTGCTGAGCCCTATACGAGAGAGAAAAGAGCGCAAGGACACGAAAAAGGCGCGAGACGGTAGTAAAATAGGTCACCGCCGACAGAAACGGCACCAAGGAGGGGAGCCAAGGAGCCAATCGCTGGACGGGAGCTTCTCTGCTTCGATCTTGTGTGTTAGTCATTTGGTTCTGATATATTTTCCAACACAAGTATTCTAGCAGATTTCAGTGCTTGCATGTTTGAGTATGAGGACAGAGAAGAATTTGAACAAAAGTTTGCCCTCTTGCGGCAAAAGGCGATCAAGCAAATTTGGTTGGATAGTATATATAAGTTAAAAAAAAATGGGTGTTACATGAAGGATGTCTTCACATTAGGGATGAGAAGTACACAATTGAGTGAGAGTTTGAATAGTGACTTGAAGAACCATTTCAAATCTGATTTTGATATCATCAGGTTTTTTAAGCATTTTGAAAGGGTCGTGGAAGCAAAAAGGAATAACGAACTAGATTCAGAATTTGATTCAAAGAAAAAGTTACCTAGAATCTTTATGAGGAGACCACCACCTATGTTGGTGCAGGCTAGCAAGTTGTATACACCTATCATATTTGAAGCTTTTCAAGGTGAATATGAGAGATCCTTAGCAGCTTACACCAAGCCATTGGATGGTATAGATGAATATATGGTGGGAGATATTACCTATGAGGAGGAGTACAAAGTTATCGGTGATCCTTTGAAGCAAACGGTTGCTTGCAACTATAAACAATTCGCCAGGATTGGAATATTGTGTGGACATGCTCTTAAAGTTCTTGATTCGATGAATATCAAGTCACTACCACCACACTATGTGTTAAAGCGATGGACTCGAGAAGCACAAAGTGGAACTATACAAGACAACAATGGAAGAAATGTAATTGAGAATCCAAAGATAGATGCTATGCTTCACTTCAGATTTATGTCCCGCAAATTTCTCAATTTGGCACATCAAGCAGCCAACTTTCCTGAATGCACCATGTTAGTGGACAACACACTTACATCCTTGTTAAGCAAATTGAAGCCAAAATCAATGCATGTACAAACAACTCTATGGATCCATGTACAATTTCTGCAGATGCTAGTTCACCAAATGATTTGTTGAGTACTGGACGCCTAAAGAAAAAGGAGGTCCAAGTAAAAAGTTCAAAACGGAAAAGAACTTGGTTGGACAAGAAGCACAAGGTCAGAAAAAAGAGACATAACAAAGTTACATCACATGAGAAAAAAAATCAAAGGTACAATGTTAAAAATGCATTTTATCATATTATTTAGTCCTGTATTTTTTTCTAAACCCTTTGGTTTTCTTTCTTGCCAGGTTCAAGAAGCCAGAGAACATAGAAGTACTGATGATAGACATGCTCTGGTAGAAGATGATGAACAACTTACAATGGACAGGGAGAATAACTCTAATGCTCAAATGACCATCA